TCTGGCTCTATAAGGGATTTCTGTTAAAAATGGATACTGTTTGGGGTCAGCTAGGAGAATCTCGATTCATCTAAAGCTCCGATTTGAGCGTGGACAGACCGTAAGCCCTTCATTCTGGAATGGTGGTCTACATATAGCCCATAATTTAGCCAAGCTTCTCATCAATTCGTTAAACTCTTGCTCCAATGCTGTGGATAGCTGTGATTGGCCAGTACGGGTTTTTTTCGGACGTGTTACACTTGCATGCCAAGCGCTTCCGTTCTAACTCCATTTGTTCTAATGGAAAAATGAGTGATGGTCTTATAATGACAACTAACCTCCTAGAGGATGTAAAAGCTATAGGTCTAGACGATGTTGACCCAGGTTCAGTGCTAAGTTTGAGCAAATCCAACGTAGCTTCATCCAATTGTGTAAGTGATTGTTGTGTGCTACGTGAACCGGGACCTCGTGGATTGCCGGAGGCTGAAAAGAAAGCTTTATGAAATGTTCGGTTATCGATTGATCCGAAATGAGTTCGGAAGTTAGTTGCATAGCATCCTGATGAGAAATGCCTACTATTAGTCTAAATGTGGTCTAACTACCGCCAAAGAAGGTTATGCATACATACTTTTCCTTGCTATATCATCTGAGAGAATGTGAAGCATTACACACGAAAAGGGACTATCCAAATTTTCTGGAATGCTTATTCTTTTCTTAGAAAGTAATGTCGCTGAATACTAATTCGAATATGTATTTAAAAGTTATAATAATTGACCAATCACATTGCTTGGCCCCGCCCCTTTTTCATGGTAATGTTTCGCATTCTTTTGCACTACTAACATCGGCCTGGTACAGTAGACTCATATTTAAAAGAGGATTTTGATTGGTATTCGTAAGATTTGGATTCTATGGTCGAATTCTTGGAATCAAGTGAATGTGACCCTGAAACACACAAAAATCTAGACACAATCAGTATTGTAAGATCACATTTAAACCTAATTCCAAAATCAATAGCTTGTAAACATTTATTTCAAAACGAACTGCTCTGTTAATTCACATACCTCTGGGACGATACTGCATCTGTGATCTACTGGCTAAATTCTGTTGTGTTTCATGTGA